TCTAATCTCTTTGCCACCTAAACCATCAAAACAACTTGGTTCGTCATATGTTAGCAATACTCATAATGAAGCAATCTAGGAACCTATTGAAGAACACTCGCAAGAAATCATTGTTCAACTCAAAAGTAATGACTACAAAGGCATAGCACTTGACTATATGCTGCCAATTAACTGACAGTAACGTAGTAAACCACTTAACAAACCACAAACTAATTAAGCCACTAAACAAGCAATTAATAACAACAACAGCAGGATAATGGTCAGAACACAATATTATCCTAGATGACAAAATCGGATTTTTTTTTTTTTTTTCACTTTGTGAGAGTCATAAGAACGTAGTATTAAAACAAATTTTATTGTTTTTTTCCCATTTAATCTATTCCAGCCTAGTTTGATTATAATGAAGAAACAATTTAAACACCTATGCTCAGCACATAAGCATGATTTTTCTTACTTATGCTCGGCACATAAGCCACCTAAGCTTCTGCTTTTTCTGTCCATTATAAACTGCGAGCTTACATTCACACGCACTTTCTCACCTGCTCTCTGCTCGAGTAGTTTCTCTTCTCTTGTACAAAATCACTCCACTTTCCCTACTTAGAATGCTTATTCTTCCCAAAATATGTTAAATGTCATGGACTTCACTAAGCGCCTAGTCTCCAACCCCTGATATCAACCTCTGATTATTAATCCATTTGAAGATTGCATGCTATGTTGTGCTTCAAAACAATACCCTGTAGCCTCTAGTTTGAATATTTCATTCAAAAAGTTGCTCATGGAGCTACTAGGTCAACCACAGAGCTTGATGATTTTCTTAAAAAATAAAAAAGCTATAGAAGCTTCACAATTTGATGCATGCTCACGAACCATCTTTCTTATCCCCTTCCAGTATGATACCTCCATGACACTTAACAAATGCTGAGGATGTTCCTCTAATATCACACTGTATAATAAAATGTCTGTCAAAGAAACAAAGTTCCATAAACAGTTGCACCAAGTTCATCGTGCCTAGAATGTACTGCCTGCGTCCTTTCTCATGGTGTACACTTGTTCAGAGTGTACTTAATATACTGTCTATAGCTCTAGTGGCTTACTTTCTATGTGTAATTTCTTATGCTTGGTAGCTAATCTACCTACATTCTACTCTTCCATGCCTGTCAACTACAAATGTGATTTAGCTGTTCCCTTATTCTGCTTTCTCAGGAAATAGCTAAAGAGTTACAAAGCGTAAACGTTCATTAATAATATAATAGAAACATCCAGTCGTTAAAATTAGAGACAAGAATTTTCTAAAACTAATGTAATTGATTCATCAATGATAAAACCAACATAAAATTCTTCATGATTTCACGCGTAATTTTCAAGGCTACATTCCTCATCTTAAGTAAAATAACAACCGAAAGAATCAAAAGAACGAGAACCTGAGCCAGTTTCAACTTTTCAGCCTCATCAATTGGGGGAACCGTCGGCGAAATGGAACTAGAAGAAGCGCGTGTTTCCAAACAAAATTTTCCTCTCCTATGCTCCAGAGTACCAAAAGTCTTTGAAAGCAACAACGAAGAAGAAGAAGAAGAAGAAGATCGAATGGCGCTTAACGAAGGAAGTGAATTGGAAGGAGAATTGAGATCGGACGCTTGACGGCCTCGTACAGAGAAAGGCCGGCAATGGAAGCGGCTGAGGTGAAAATCCGATGAATAGACTGCGGCGGCCGGGAAGGCACCGGTGCGAGCTACCGGCAAGAGCAGCGACTGCATGACTTACAGGCAGAGAGGCTATAGTAGATGTTAGAGTAGTTAGCGTTTCGCCTGAGTTTTGGGGTTGGGTTCTAAATATTTAACCCTTTTTTTATTTTTATTTTTCGTTTCCTTTTCCGGTAAGTTATTCAAAGTTTTGTTTCTTTATGTTGTTTTCTCGACAATAGTGATTCATAAGTTCCTGTCTTTTTTTGGTTCTTTGCTTGTCATTGGAGAATAGTTACACGTGTATTCTCGTCGATCAATTCATTTCTCCTCCACATGACACGAACGATAAAATTTGTTTGAGATGGAAGAATGTGGCTTACAATATAAAATTGCACGTTGATGTTGCGTTTGTCTCACAGTCTGAAGTTCAAGTCAATTTAGAAGAAAGTCAGTGTAGCTGTTTGAAATTCGGCAGTGTTTACCTTCTTCAAGTTGAAGAAAGTATCGATATAACTCTCTTCGAGTTTTTGTCAACCTTTTTTTAGATTAGGTCAAAAGAGAACTGGATTGGGTCGGATCACTGCATTGGGTGCATGCCCCCATATGAGGTTAACCGTGAAACTTTTGATTCGATTCAAGTTTCCATTTTCTTTCTTGTTTGATGGTGGGGCTTCCTTCGTTGTCAACTTCTCCCTACCCGATAGTTATATGCAGTAAGCTGTTGTTGTTGTCTTTTGCTTACATCCCCATATAACACCAATTTCAATTTCTCAAATCTTGCTTTCAAAACTTTCTGTCTCCATTTTCTAAAACTTTCTTCTTGAATTGGGGTCAGAGGCTCGTAAGCGACGCAAGAACGAATAGGTTTAACTCACTTGTTGCTGAAAAGTGAGTGCCGCACAATCGCAAGTCTGCTGGCATCAAAGTGCGATTGTGACAACAGATCTTATTTTGTCTTTAGCATGTTTTATTCTAATGGTTCATCAATAATATTAGCCCTCACTTCTTTATTGGGATTCATGGTTTCGTTTCGATATTTTATAGACTAACTGAATTGAGCTCAATCTTGGAAGATTATAGTGATCCATTTCTTAACATATCTTTATTTGACTTTATGATATTCTCCCTTAAAGAGATGAAAATCAATTTCGGTTAGATCGATTAGAGCCTTATGATTGGTTTACCTAAGCTGACACCATACATGCTCATGGTTAGATCGATTAGAGCCTTAATCTACCTCAAAGTGTATCTACTCTTTATCTAGGCCTTTCTCTATGTTTATAATGTGATTCTTGTGTGTCATGTATTAGTGAGGTGCGACATCGTTTTTTATTCCAATACTAATGACCTGAAGGGACATTATAAATTTATAGTCATTCATTACCAAATTTTAATTTACGAAGGCCTAAGTGGCGAACCCTAAGTAGGTTCATAATGTCATGCCAAGTTCTAGGGGGTGACCCTCGTGCCTGCTAACTACTTAGTACCTATGTGGTCCCTCACTCATCCTACGAGTTAGTCTATGTAGTATGGCCCTAGTTCGATTCCACAGGTTATCAAGCTCTAATCTCATCACGTTCTAGGCTTATCAAGATCTGTTCTCAAGGCACTACCATATCAGGACCAATCTAGGTCTACACCTTGGTGCACAAGCAGACCCCACCAATTAAGACAGGTTCACTACTATGATAAGAATCACGGTGTTCCAAATGGACTTATTTACGGGCAAAGCTCAATTGATTTCAAACCTGTTTATTTATCCACTCAAGCACATCAAATTATTTTTAATTTCATAAATTATGTAATGGTCAAATGGTCAATTTGACTTTGTCTCGTGTGGAGATTAAAGAGGATCAAGATTAAATCCCGACCACAAACGTCTTTGTTGGGAGACTATAAATACCCACAATTGTTATATAAAAATCAGATTGGTGGATGAATGAAATTGAGATCTCGAATTGAGATGTTTTCCCTTAGAAATCCGAACATCAATTTTGTCATTTCTAAGTTTCAATCAATTCTTGTGGTAAAATTGCATCTGAGTCATTCAATCAAGCCTTGATCAAGTTCGATTGTAGAGTGACTCAATTTAGAACAAGGTTCCAAATCTTGCTTCTAGATCTTTGATCGTAAGAGGCAATCTAATTCTAGCATTATCTCTTGGTTGATCCAAATTTCGTATAAAAATGTGTTAATTACTTTGATTCGAGAGTTCTTGCTTCAACAAAAACTTGGATTGTTGGGCTGAGATTAGGGTTGCCTTTATCGTACTAAAACTAGCTAGCTACCCTAATAATCCCTGTGAGGCACTATCAAAGATAAGGGAGTGGTCTTGGCTTTGATCATAGTACTAATTTAGGTATAGTCTAGGGTGCTCGTATGCTACGTGATACTTAAGCTTAATCTATTTAGGCTTTCTAGCGATTCCTACAAATCCATCCGGTCCTACTTAAGTCTAGCATGTATCCTGCGGCCTTATTCTACTCCAAAACATCATATAGGATACTAATGTCATAAATTAACAATAATCATGATCAATCATGCTAACAAAATAAAACAGACACAACCGTTCATTTTAAACCTACATGTTATCAGTATTACGAAGTCAAGTGACAGTAAAAAATGGTTGGGAGTACAATACCTTCCCGAAAAAAAAAAAATTCAAGAGAAGAGAAGAAATAATGGTGTAGTTTTAATACAACTTTCAAAAATTTCAATGCACCTCCCCCTTTATCGAGGCTCAGACTCCTTTTCTTGTGAAGTCCTTTGTTCTACATTTGAGGATTCTATTGGCATGATTAAGTTTAAGGGCATAACTCTGATACCATGTTAGATGAACATGACTATCTACAATGGTATGATATTGTCCACTTTGAATATAAGTGCTCATGACTTTGTTTTGGACTTCCTCACCAGGTCTCATTCCAATGAAAATAATATTTTTTTTATTATATACTCATGATCATTCACTGAATTAGCTGACGTGCTGCTTTCATTCAACTTGTGGTACTAACAAGTCTATAGTAAAAGTATTTTAAAACATTAAAAACATTGAGATGTTTTTCAATCTTTTTTAAAGTAAAAAAAATAAGGTTGATAGTATTTTTTTTAAACATTTTTTTTTTTTGGAACTTTTTTTAATTTAAAGATATTTTAATATTTTAATTTTTTTTATTATTATTATTATTTTTGTGTGAAAGTTTCAATATAATTGAAACAAAAAAAAATGCAAAATTTAAGAGAATTTTTTATTAAGAAATTAAATGTTTATTTTTTTTATGGAGGACACGTGGCGGTCTTGCTTTCCACCAAAAGTGGAAGGAAACAGCCTTCACTCATCTCAACTGCTGGTATCTGTCTATTTGGCCATTGGAGAAGAACAGATAAGGAGTTTTCCGGCGACAATCGAGCTCCTAAAATGGCCGTTCTTCATGCTTCCGCCTCCCTCTCTCTCGCCATACGCGGTACTCTCTTCATCTCTCTCACACTTTCTCCATTTCGTTCTTCCGTTCTGTGATTGTTGAATATCCATCGATTCATAAAACACACGAACACAATGTTGCAGATGCTTCCTTCGCAAGATCAGCCCCAAAACCCTTTCCACTTCGCAGAGGTCACCTCCCGAATTTATACCGATTCGGAACCACGTTTGCTACTGGCTCTCCACTTGGTACTTACAGAGTTTTATTCTTTCTATTCTCAGTCTAATTCGAATGTTTCTGCTTGATGTGTTCATGATTTTTATCGATTAGTACGTTTTTTCATTTCAATCTTCATTTCAAGTTCCAATTTCAAGCATACAATGGAGCATGAATATTGAACTACCCTAATATAATATCAGAATGAAGTCTGATTGTTCTAGAATATTGTGGTTATCTTGTTTCTTGCTTATTATAAGCTGTGACGGTGAAATTGAATTCCATTCTAAGATGAAGAGTTATGATTATTCTTAGCTAGAATTGCAATATTAGGGAAGTGGAGCTGTTTAGAAAAATAGTATAATAATTGAAAATTTTTCTTGGAAATGTTAGGGAAAACTGACACGGTATATACCACTTTGGGTATATGTTCTCGTGGCTTTATTTTTTATTTCACTTAAAAGGCGTCGTATCAATAGAGATATTGTCCCTCGTTTATGTATCCGTTATTGATCGTCCCTTGCCTATGTAGGACTTTGTTTGTCTTCCTCAATATTATGGCTAGACTTTATGAAGTATCGGCTAATGGTTTTTCTTGTTCCCAGTGATAAGCAAGCCAAGTGGTCAAACGAAGCGTGCAATGAAACCAAATTCTGTTTCTATAAGATGTGAGCAAAGTAGCCAAGAGAGTAATAATTTGGATGTTTGGCTTGGGCGGCTAGCAATGGTAGGATTTGCAATTGCAATAAGTGTTGAAATAGCAACAGGCAAAGGTCTTTTGGAGGTATGGCCTTTCTAATTACAGAATTCGAGTCTTGTTACTTAGATTGCTGATAGTTGAAAGAAATTTGTTTTATGGATTTCTGGACCTTTCGGAATCTGGAATTTGGCATATCTAATTCAAAACACCTTATTGTTAATAAGATAATAGCTCCACTCCCTAATTATGTGGACAGAAGTATCTTGTACCACCGGGAGTATTCCATTTAAAGTGTTGAGTTGCACTAAAGATGGCTCTATTTGGAATGTATTCCACTTGGCAGCTGCAAACTCAACTTTCTGATTGGCCTGTCTTTTTTCAAGTGAATTAGAGAGGCGGATCTGATTGGTACGCTATTTGCCGATCATTCTTTTCGTGCGAGTGCCATGAAATGGGCGAAGTTTTTTCTTGTAACTCTGCCATTTATATTCCCAGACACTTGTCTCACTGATTTTGGTTTGCTAAAGAAGTGACATGAATCATTCTAAGTTGATTATGCGTATATGTGTGAGATCTCACATCGATTGGAGAGAGGAACGAACCATTCCTTATAGGGGTGTGGAAACCTCTCTAGTAGACGCGTTTTAAAACTTTAGGGGAAGCCTAGAAGAGAAAGCCCAAAGAAGACAATATCGGCTAGTAGTGGGTTTGGACTGTTTCAAATGGTATCAGAGACAGACACTGGGTGGTGTGCCAGCGAGGACGCTAGCCCTCAAGGGGGTGGAGAAATCTCTCCCTAGCAGATGTGTTTTAAAACCGTGAGACTGACGGTGATAGGTAATGGGCTAAAACAGACACTATCTGCTAATAGCGGGCTTAGACCGTTACAATATGCTTGATTCATTTTGGCCCAATATAAAAGTGGCCGTCTAATTTTTGTAGGCCGGGCTGCTCTTTCAAGTAGTTTACTTTGTTCAGTTAGAGGACTTCCATTATCTTAAGACTTAAACCTCGGTTTTCTTCTAGCGTCTTGTAATACAAGTTTCATACGAGACACATGAAGCAATTAACAGAAACCTTACCAGAATCATTGTTTTCATGATGCAGAATTTTGGAGTAACGGCTCCCCTGCCTAGTGCAGCATTGGGAGTCACCGCATTGGTTGGCATATTGACAGCAGTTTTCATCTTTCAATCAGCTTCCAAAAACTGAACACGTCTAAGATTTTCACTGCACATTGGCTGTAAAGTTTGTAATCCTGAAAGATATTTGCTTGATAATTCATTTTCATTCGTTCTAATACTCTAGATTGTGAACAATGATCAACTAAATTGGAGTGTTCGACTCAAAACACTTGTGTTTTTGTTGTGGACAGCGGTGATAGAGGGAGAGTCTGTGAAGCCTGCAATTAGCTACATCCAATTCTCAGTGAGGTAGAGCACTCAACTTTTCTTTTTCTCTCTTTCTTTTTGAGTTCTGTGTAGCACTGAAATACCTTCACAGAGTTTAAGTTTAGTTGTGTGATGATAATCATAAGATAATCACTATCCATGACAGTATAATGAATGATGGATTATGTAAAATATTGTTTGTACACTGAGTTCTAAGAGGAAAAATTTAAGATATTTTTTTATTAGGTAAGAGGAGTGATTATTGAGAATATTTGCTAAAACCATCGCAACTAAATAGTTGATGGTAAAAATTATCTATTTATAATTAATAGGAGAATAAGTTGTTACTATTCTTTCAATTAGATATTCATCCGAGTTTCATGTATAAGAGTTGAAACTTTTCGTCCTCCATAACAAATCTAGGGTTTTTTTAACGATTAATGTCGTAGCTTGAGTAGTTGGTGGTTAATTATCTCTCTATAGCAAATCTAGGATTTTTGTCATCAGAGTTTTAGGTATAAGAGTTGAAATTTTTCGTCCTCTATAGCAAATCTAAGGTTTTTTTTAACAATCAATGCCGTAGCTTGAGTAGTTGGTGGTTAATTATCTCTCTGTAGCAAATCTAGAGTTTTCGTCATCAGAATTTCATGTATAAGAGTTGAACCTTTTCGTCCTCTATAGCAAATCTAGAGTTTTCTAACGATCAATGTCGTAGCTTGAGTTAGTGGTTAATTATCTCTCTCGAGCATCCGATTCCTTCTTTTGACGTAGGAGTTACCTTTTATAGGCCATTAAGGGCTGGGATTTTTGTCAAAGTTAGTGTGAGAATCTAATGGTAACAACTCAACTTTTGGCACTCATACTAATTGGAGACGTCACTTCAAACCCAAGGTTCGAATTATAAAACAATGAAAATATGCTAAAAGACACTTCAATAAAACCATGCACAAGGTACCCTTTCAAAAGAAACTTTTAAAAATATGTAATTTAATTAATAGTTCAACAACATAAAATTAAATCAAAAGGCACAAACCCTCTAGTTCTCCAACACCATTTAAATCATTTATATAACTAAAAGTATAAACATATATGATAATGAGAACCTAAAAATTTAGAAGATTCCTCATGATCAACTTCATCATTCTACTCGTCATTCCCATGTCACGACCTTGCTCTTATCTAAAATTAATTTTAGAGACAAGTTGAGTATTAAAAATGTCTAGGAACACACTCCCTTATTGAGACTAAACATGCAAACTTTATACGACTAATCAAACGAAATCGAAGAACTCTAATGGTTAATTACCCAAAACATAGAGAGAGCAATCTATCTGCCCTACAAAAACAACTCCATTTCTCACAATGATCATTAGTAGTTAGTTATTCAAAAAATACAACGTGTAACCCTTACCACAGTCATCACATTTATCAATCATAACATACATACATTAGGTCTCAAAGCATTTATATTCGTGACCAATAATTGCATTTATATTCATAATCAATAATGCATCAACCCTACTAGAAATAAAACGTATCCAAACAAAAATCCCACTATTGTCCTGGGCAAGAAGTTGATTACTCAACAAGCCTGAAACTAGTGTGGGTTCACATATATATTCCATCCCACACCAAAGCATGACAAATCATAATGATGAAACCCAACTTGAGTTGATACTTCATCACAATCTCAATAATTAAACTGCCTGTGTGGAAGTTATACCAAAATTAAGCCTTAGTGTGGGTCTTTCAAGCTTCTTATGCCTGCCTCTTAAAACCATGCTGCTCGGCTTGTTAATATCACAATACTCACAATTGAAAAAATTAATATTCTAACAAGATAATCACATAGGCTAGATATCTTAATTTATAGTGATTTATGCACTGCCCGTTCTTTGATTTGTACGAGCGAGAGTGAATTTTGTAGTTGGTTTAATAAGCCTATCATATTGAACACTACTCCATTGTGGGAAATAGTTACACTCCTTGTTAAAACCAATTAAGATGAGATTAGAAGATTCTTTATAAAGTTCTTTACTTTGTTTGGGATTTTTTGGGATGAAAAACTTAGAGAGGGGTGACAAGTAGTTATAATAGAGTCGACAATATAGACCACACATTGTGATCTTCTTGATTTATTTGTTCATGCAATTATTGAGTTTGACCCTACTATTCTAGTGATGATTTTTAACACTCCCTCAGCACTAGTATTCGTTCGTCATACCATGTTGAGGTGACAGCGAAAACCCTTATATTTGCCTGTATTCAACCCCTTTTGTAAACAAGTTTGCCACTTGGTTATCCATCTTCTTCTTCCTTCATGACTTTCTCTCTTATATAATGGTAGTGCACCTGTATATGCTTTGTTCTAGCATGAAATGCCAGATTTTTTGTTGGGTGAACGGCAGATTGGTTGTTGCAATGAAATGGTATCAGATGGTCAACTCTGTAGTGCAAATCCTTTATTAAGAGTTTCAACCACTTACTTTCTTAAGTTGCTCCAACGGCTGCTTTGTACTCCACTTTTGTAGTTGACAGTAATACTGTTAGTTGTCTGTTGCTACACTAAAAAATTATTCCCGAACCGAGCTTTAACATATACCCAATGGTTGATCTTCGAGTATCAACTTATGACGCCAATTAAATTCTTAAATTGGTTAGTTCATGTGACCTCCCAGTCCAACTCTACGTGCAAGAAAGCATTTCTCACATCCATCTGCTGTAGTTTCCAATTTTCACTTGCTACTATTGCTAGCAAGACCCTTACATAGTAATCTTCGTCACTAGACTAAACTTTTCGTCATAGTCTAGTCCATATTTTTTTAGAGAATCCTTGAGTTACAATTTGAATCTTGTATCTCTCGATTGATCCATTTGGAGGACGCTTTATTGTGTAAACCCATTTACAATAGATGGGTTTGACATCTCATAGTCATGACACTAGATTCCATGTTTGATTTTGCTCTAAGATTATAATTTCTTCCTCCGTCACCTTTTGGCAAGCTGAGTTTTGTGACGCTTCTTTATACGTCTCTAGCTCTTGAACTTTGTCTACTATAATAGTTACATTGGCACACTTTGGATTTGGCTTTTGGATTCTTTCTAACCATCTAAGTTGTTCAGGTGTTGTTTCTTTTTCATCGGGTTCGCTTGGTTGAATCACATGTTGCTCACCAGTATCAATGTAATTTGGATTTTCAAGAGCGTCGACCAAATATGTGTAGTTTGTACCCCCGTCGTAGAATTTTTTTCAATGTTGTTCGAGTCTTGTAAAAATTTCTTCTGGTTGTCAATCATGTGGTTTAAGCATCCTGAATCAACAATCCAATTATCCTCATAATTGGTATGCTTTCTCATCGTTCTCATGGTTGCTAGCTCGTCTTCTTCTAAGGTACATAGTACCTCTGCATCCCACTCATTTTCTCTCCTTTTTGAAGGTTGTCACATTACCTTCGACAGATTTTTTTTATTGGATCAACAATCTTTAGACTTGTGGCTCTTCTTTCAGCAATTGTAGCAAATGCCTTCAAATATCTTCCTTTGAGAATTCTTGTTGTCGTCCTGCCAAGCTCTAGTAAAAGTAGATGAATAATTCTATTGAGTTCTGATTTTGGGATATAAACAATGAAACCTAAATAGTTGTTCATGAGAGAGAATTAATGATACTAAGGTGCAGAATGTAATTAAAGGGGTAAAACAAACCTTTAACCCAACTGTCATTATAAACAACTCTTAAAGAATTTGATTGCATAGAGGTTACGAACAAATCTTAAAGAATTTGCTTTCATAGCGGTTACGAACAACTCAAGGTTTTTAAAACGCGTCTAATAGGGAGAAGTTTTCACACCCTTGTAAAGAATGTTTCGTTCTCCTCTCCAATTGACGTGGGATCTCACAATCGACCCTCCTTCAAGACCCAGCATCCTCGCTGACACTCATTCCTCTCTCCAATTGATGTGGGGTCTCACAATCCACCCCCTTTAGGGCTCAGCATCCTCGCTGGCACACCACCCTGTGTCCACCTCCCTTTCAGGGCTCAGCATCTTCACTGGCACACTACGTGTCTGGCTCTGATACCATTTGTAACAGTTCAAGTCCACCACTACCAAATATTGTCCTCTTTGAGATTTCCCTTTCAGATGGTTTTTAAAACGCGTCTGCTAAGGAGGGGTTTCCACACCCTTGTAAAAAATGTTTCGTTTCCCTCTCCAATCGATGTGGGATCTCACAATCTATTCTCCTTCGGGGCTCAATGTCCCAACTAGCATTCATTTCTCTCTCCAATCAATATGGGATCTCACAACCATAATTGTCCATTCATACCTACCCTAAAACATGAAAGTCATAATTTTAATCTTAACTAGTGTAGGTGTGCTACTAGGTAACATCTTGCAAAACCAACTAAGCTACATACGTGGTGACACCATTAATATTTGAGGTCAACTAAGCTACATACGTGGGTCAGTCAGAGATGACATCATTAATATTTGAGGTAGTTGGTGATCTTCTAGAGTTTCATCACAGTAGCATCATAAACAAAAGGGAGAACACTGTTCGTGAATTAAGCTAAATATGTGGGCCAACCATAAATGAACTCATCTCTACTAGCAATAGTTGATAGCTCTCAAACTACCTTGATACTGAAAGAAACTTGCAAAACGTGAAAATAGTATGTTACTTTCCTTATAACATATGGAAATTCTAATCAAACTCTAACATCATACTAAAAAAATTAGTACTATTCAAAACATACTTAAAATTAGAGGAATTCTATTAGTTTAAACTTATCGACACGCAAGGCTCATAAATCATGAAGAAGTTTGGAGGCCAATGCAATTGTGACAAACGCTTTCCCACGATGAAATTGAAGCAAATCATTCAAGCTTGAGTATAAACCTACCTCACATCGAACGATTTTCTTTGGTGAAACTAAATCGAACTTGTCAAGTTTGATTGCAACCCACCATGCGATGAATTCTTCTCTACCTTGAAACCAAACTAAACTAATCAGAACTAAACGTAACATACCCTCGTGATTAAATCAGCCCAAACCAGACAAAACTCTTACCAACAATGCGCAACTACCAATATAACCTATCATCGGGTTATTACTCCCTTTCAAACGCAGACGATGGAGAAAAATGTTAGATTTCTTAACGAAAGCAACATCGTTTATGCTTGATGTATATATATTTTTAAAGTTGGATATTTTTATTAATACAAAGTTTAGAGATATTTTTATTAATTTAAGGTCGAGTTATCCATTAACAAAAAAATAAATAAATAAATAAGGAAATATTTTATTATGAAACATTTATTTAGGAGCATTGGTGGTGGACAGAAGCATGTGCGTCGTAATCTGAACAAATCTCTCTCCCACTTTTGTGTATAAAAAACATACAATAATTTGGTCCTCACCAACCAATTCAATTTAATGTCCATTTTTATTTCCCTAACTAATTAAATTATTCGAATATTTTGCTTTCTTTTTTTATTCCAATATTCTTATTCGTGCGTTCAGTAATTAATAATTCTTAATATCATTAAAAAAAAATTTAAACTATATGCTGATGTCTTTACCGGCAATATCGTGAACACTTGTTAATTTCAGTTCAATATATATGGTTCGCTTTGACCCGTTACGTATTGTTGTTAGCCTTATGGTTAGGAAGAAGTTTCTACACCCTTATAAGGAATATTTCGTTCTCCTCACCAATTGATGTGAGATCTCACAATCCCCTCCCCCCTCTAGGGCCTAATGTCTTCGCTGGCGTACTGCTCGGTGTCTGGGTTTGATACCATTTGTAACAATTCAAACCCGCCACTAACCGATATTATCTATCTGCTTTGGCCTTACGTATCGCTGTCAACCTCACAGTTTTAAAAGCGTCTGTTAAAGAGAGGTTTCCACTTCCCCTCTTAAAGTTCTTACATGGGTTGTACCTATTCCGATAAATTTTGGGTTGGTTGGGTTCAACTGGACTAAATTCGATAAAGTTCACAACCCAAGTATCGTTTTTCTGGTTGAGTTGGATTATGGAGTTATTCTTTTTAATTATTAAAAAATCTTATTTATTTAGATTGATGAGTGAAATCTCAAAAAGCTTAAATATCAAATATTCAGAAGTGACAAGACATCACTAACACGGATTACAAACATCAAATATTCTTAATTTTCGTAATAATCTTAAAATTATGGTACGGTAGAGTTGGGTTTTAACTCTTTTTCCAGGTTGCTCAAGTTGACTCGATAAAAATAATATCAATCAATAAAACAACCCGAATTTTCGATTTTTCAAAACTTCAACCAACCCAAATTAAAAAATTTCGAACCTTTATGATTTGGGTTAGGTAGTCTGAGTTAATGGGTTCTCGAGTCATATGAACATCCCTAATTAATGTCAAGGTGAGTATTATCTAAGAATAATTTACATCTACACTCGGTCAAGAGGTTAGAGGTTCGAATCTCTCACTTAAATAACCTAAATACTGTTGAACAAAAAGAAGTTACGAGCGAGATTAGATAATCAAGTTAGACATATATGCCAATAAATCAACTTTACACATCAACCTAATTTAAGGTTTAAAATGTAATTAAATTTGATTGAAGTGTTCATTAATATAAGTTAATAGATCATAAATAATGATTTATTGACCAATTAAAGTTGAATTAGGGTTTAATTTATCCAATATTTCTAAACTATTATAAAATCAACCTAATCTTGGTCCCTTTACCAAGAACACTTACAAAATGTTTTAAATACTAAAATAATAAATTAATTAGTATTGAAGATTAGGTATTTATATCAATAATGCATGTAAATATTATTAAAAAAAATAAAAACTTTGTAATAAAAATAGTGTTTGTGCCATGCATATTTGAATATTTAATATTTGGTTTGTTAATAATAATAATCAAGAGCTAGCTAGCTAGGACAACTGTTTCCCAATGTATGGTGATTTAACTATTTAAATAATTATAGCTCCTAAATATAAAATAATTAAAAATATATTTTGGTTCGTTTAAAAAAAAAATAGGTCTGGAAATAGAGTGTTCGTATAATCTGATAACTCGACCAACTCAGACTATCCAATTTAAACTATAAAGATTGTCGGGCTGGGTTAGTTTTTTTTTTTTTTTCGATTTGGGTTTGGCCGAATTTTCAGAAAGACAAAAACTCGAATTGATTTGCGAGTTGACAGTTTTTTTTGTCGGGTCAACCTGACCAACCTAAAAAAAGTTATAATCCAACCCTACTTTTTTAAGAATATTTGACGGGTAAATATTTGATATTTGAGTTTTATGAAATTTTAGTTATTAATGTAAGGATAAAATATATTTTTTAAAAATAATTTTAAAAAACAACCTTAATAGCGGGATCTTTTCAAACTCAACTCGAAAATAGAGAGTTGGGTTTGGTTGTGAATTCTATCTGTGATGCTCGAGTCACCATTGACTCGAAATTTCGAATTTGGTTCAAAAGATTTTTTTGAGCCGAAATAATATACTCGACCTAGTTTCAAATACTATTTGAAAAGGCAATAAATTCAAAGCTCCAGCTGGATTATTCCATCTTTTAAAAAGTTTTTTAACTCAATTTTTAAAATTAATTTAAATAAAATAAAGAATTAAAAAAAAAAAAAAAAGTAAAGGGGTGTTGAATAAGTTTGACTAATACAAGCCCCTTTCACATAGGTGGGCCAAAAGTAGAAATACAGAAAAAATATGGGAAAAATTAGAATAAATTAATATTATTAATTGTGTTTTTTTAAAAAATTACTTTATAATTACGTAATGATATGCTTATAATTAATGATGTAATTATATACTTATGACGTAACCCTTTAATTTTATTTTAAAAAAAACCAACTCTTTACCATCTCTCAAATTTATAAATCTATTAATTAATTAAAATTTTAAATTATCTCGTCAATCTTATTAGTTGGTGTCTCCACTAGCTATAGAGCGAAGTATGATATTCAACTAAGAGTTGTCAGCAGCAACTACAATATACTGTCTAAAGGATGAAGGCAGAAAAACAAGCACTAAAATGAAGAAGGTTAGTCTGAAAGAGCGGGATATGACAAGATAGTTAGACTGAAGGGAAGGAAGTCCTGTCCGACAACTATGGGCTCGTTGTTGACAAAGAGGAGTCAACTAGCGATGACAGCTTCTGAAAGAGTGAGTGAACCATGTAGATTTGAACGTATCTAATTTACATAGGAATTAATAAGAGAGATCATAAAATGGTCAAATGGGAAGAGAAGATTGATATCATATGTGTGTAAAAGTCTTGTGAGGACTGACAGTGCGACCCACACTGACATTGATGAGGGATCCGAAGTCACCTCTCCA